TCTCGGAGCGGTCAATCCAAGTGTTGTCTCGTCTGATAGCAAATGCATGAGCCTCTGGACCAATTTTCACTCCCATAATCGTCATCATCTTCAATATCGATATAAAGTCATCATTAAAAATACACACAGCAATAAATGTTGCAACTTCAATGATCTGAGACCCGGAATGGACATGCTTTGGAGCGAAAGTCCTTATCAACGAGTTTAGACACACATTATTATTTTGAGTTTCTTAACCCAAACATCGAATCAATAATTCTTCTGATGATAAACTTCGAACTATTTGTCAACGAATGGACATGATGGAATGTAGCGTAGACTATCGCAACTGCATTGTAATGCAATTTTGAACCCAAGTCCGCATTGAGCCGTTCTTGAAAATATAATCTCGTTGTTGTAAGTAGTACACGAAATAAAGGAATAAATTGCTGAAAAGACCATCAAAAACCCATAATCTGCCTAATTTACAATATGTATACTCAAACGCCCATTTCGAATTGTGGTTGGTTTCAATGACCAATGATAATGAAGTCCACGAGTAGAAGAGACAACTCATCTGTAGATTGAGTTTCAGAAAGTGTGCCTAGTTTGGCCAATGTTGAGTGGATTTGTTTCAATAGAAAGACTATTGGCATGAAGAACCAACCATCAGGCGGTAAACGTCATCAAATTTTAGTCGGGTGTCTACGTGTTCTAGCGTCTTGGAATATAAAGAGCGTTTGCGTGTAAGTACTAGGACCCCACAATTTCACACGATTGTAATTCAAGTCTTCGTCGCTCATTACGGTTATTGAAACATGGCAATGAATTAGAAATTAAACAAATAGATCCACGTCCTCCTCCTACTCATTCTTAAACTGCATTGCATAATAGTACCTTAAAGATAAAAAAAGATTTTTTTAAAAACACTTTGGCATGCGGTATCGTTGCACATGTTGTGAAATCGCCTTCCTAAATATAAATGAAATTAAATGGTTTGTGGTTTTAAAGTGGCGTGGGATATTAAAATGAAAATAAAAAATACAAAAAATTTGAAATTTGTTGAAAGAAAACTTGTCGGAAACACTGGTATTAACTTAATTTGTTAACTTCCACTGATTAAAGCAAGTTTCGTAGTGAAAATATCCTTTCATTCGGTTATCAATACGTAAACAAATACGCCTCTTGCAAAAAGTTTCAATCAAAATATAAGCACAAATTTCTCAACAACATTCTTATCCTTATCTCACCACAAAATTAAGGATTATGAGTAAAAATGCCTTGGTAGTTAAATTTGGTAATGTAATTCTTGAATTAGTCGTAGGCCAAGATATTGCAACTTTTAAAACATCAGGTCTCACTGGTTTGGAACTGCATATACTGCTTTCAGATTGACGTCCACAGTGGAAAATTTGAATTAACCAATGAAAAGTATTCTTGCTTTGGTCTATGTGACCACTTTACATCACACTACATTTTCCTAAAGTAAAAAGACTATGATTACTTATATAACCTCAGTTTGATTACTTGGACCAACCTTACCAGACCAAATGTTTCCACAATTGCGGACGTGGGCAAATTGGGTCCTCTTGAAATGAAAATTAGTGTCGGTCAACTATGAACATTGGAGATTCTGATAGAAGTATTCAAAAAGGCAATGGCAGATATCAATTTGGACGGTCAATGGTTTGTCGATGGTGGAACACTTCTGGGATCTATCCGACATCACGATTTGATACCTTGGGATGACGATGCTGACATTAGATTGGATGACAAATATTGTCCAGTGAATCAAGCTGCCCTGAAGAAACTCGCTCCCAAATTCCTCACTTACAAATGGGGTGGGCATGATAAACTCTACTTTGCTCCATTTAATGCCTCAACAAATGTCACTCCCAAATCAATTGGTAGTCAAGCCATTGGTAAATATCCATGGCATTGAAAAAGTATTATGGTCCTCCTTATGCTAAACAATAAATGTCGCTCCAAGCTCAATTGGAAGCATTGTAATGATAAGTATTATTATACATGCCTATAAGCCGATTTAAAGTACCCTGAAGAATTCATATCTAATATCTGTCGATATTTAAGAGATCGTAGAAAAAGGTGACTTCCTAGCAATATATTCTAATTAGCTTATCGTCCATTGGGCAAAACAGTGGTTTCCGGTACTGTGACGACAAATTCGTTTCCTCGAATCCTACACTTTGGAACAGGTGTTGCCACAAGCACATCTTCTAGTTTTTAATTCGAGCTCCCAGATTGATTTAGTTAAATTACAATAAGAGCTTCATCCAGAGTTAATTGCCTGCAAATATATTCAATTTCAAACCACAAAGAAAAGGTGTAGCCAAACCGATGGTGCAAATGTTCTAAATAAGGAGACAAAATGTGAACAAAGAAATGGTGGCAAGAAAATGCATGCAAACACTTGAATTATAGATTGGGGTCGTAAATTACATGCTTAATGATTACTATGTGTGTTCACGTTTTGCAGTCAGGTTTTGAGGATTCATAGCTCAAGCTCCTACAATCGCCTTAAAGTACAAATCATGGATTAATGTCGAAGGCATTAACTTCAATCGGGAGAGTGGGAATGAATAAGCGATTGTTCAGATTAAGTGGAAAAAAGACCAATTGCGAAGAGAGATAGAGAAAATTTAGGAAGATAAGAGTCGCACATCTGGAAACATAGGAAATCTAATTGCATTGAGGATGATATCTCAATTTCAGGATCACATAGTAAAATGCTTTTTTCTGTGCAAGTTAATTTCCAGCCAAAGAAGAATTTAACCCATTCTTGCTACTATCACCCTCCATTTCAACTGCCTATCAATCTCTTTGTTCAAAGAATACATTTGACAGTAAACAATGTCTTGCACAATTAGTCTATTGTGAAATTGTGTCCCCATTGACAAATTTGCGGATTTGCTTTTCATATGCTGCATTTTGACAAATCCCATCGAGGTTCGTTCGATGGTGGAAGTGAAGCAAATGGATATCTTAATTCGCTTGGTGCAAACAAGAAGGAAAGAGGCAACGAGAGCTTATTTTTCCTATTAGGAATCGCCAAGTTACCTATTCAGTAACACAATTAATGCCACGCTACAATGAACACTGTGTGATAATTGATTGTTGAGTTTCCACTCTCTCAACAACTTTGCTCACAATGCAACGTCTCTCACCACAAGAGCTACCTTAAGATTTCAATCTCATGAAATTCCTTTGATCCACCTTGCCTATCTTATGCACTCCACAGTAAATCTTGATCTCTCAACCTACTATTATAAAGCCAAAATAGCCACAGTCTTTGTGGGTTAACACTTGAATTCTAAATTTGGTGATGGAAACAATATGATTAATGAGAACTCTGTGTAGTCAGGTTTTGCAGATTCACACTCCAAGCTTCCTCATCAATCGGTTAAATGTGCAAATCATGCTTTGCTGTCGAAGACATTTCCTTCAATCAGGAGAAAGGTAAACAGTTGAAATGGAGAATGGGAAGAGCAAGAATAGAAGGAGCGTTTATCACATACATTTTATCGTCAAATAATCTACCAAATGAGTCAACTCTAAGATTTCTTTCCTAGTAACATGAATTGTCTCCAGTTTGAATCGAAGACTATTCAAAATTTTACTGTGTTATTCCAGAACAGTATTGAGTCAATTACAAAGGTAGAATCACTTGGAGATTTTAGTCTTAGTGGAAAGAA